TTCAGAAGAAAGGAACGAGACGCCTCGATAATCTATCTCCGTGTTCATCGATGGACATTGCGGGAATGGAGACGAAGCTGGTGTACCTGAAATACGTGGGCCGCGAGACCAGCCTGCCCGACCCCATCCACCTCCGCGTGCAGAACCAGAAGGAGGACGACGTGGTCTACCTGCTGGACCGCAGCATGCCGCTCAGGGCCCTCATGACCCACTACTGCGGTCGCAGGGGATTGCCGCGCCACTTCGTGCGGTTCACCTACGAGGGCGCGCGGATCCCGGAGGCCAAGTCGGCAGATGATATCGGCATGGACGACGGGGACGTCATCGACACCTGGGTCGATCAGCTCGGCGGCTAGGGCTAGGGTTTTTGCCTGTGACAGTGCGCAGCTTAGGGATCAGTGAGCGTTGTGTGTGTGTAGTCTGCATGCTTTTATTGTGTCTATAGCTGAACTTAAGAAGGAGAAGAAGAAGCAGGTGGAGCAGATGATGTTGGGGATAGCTTTTGATGTACTGCTTGCTTTGAGTTCATGGGCGATGTTCATGGTTGAGAAGTTGCGTGCTTTCCCGTGCCATTTGCTTTGTTTCTGGTTTTCCATTTCGCCATTGCCATTGCTGGAAGCTTAATCTCTCCCTTTTCTTCATCCCAAGAAAGAAAGGTTTGCTTCGTTTTCTTCTGTCAGCAAAGGACAGCGATGGTGTTCTTTGCTTACCAGTTGGAGCCCGGGCTTTAACTTTCATACTACGTGCAATTGTTGAGGCGTGTGGAGGGTTATGCTTTGATCTCATTTTCGGGTGTCAAATTCGAATCTTTCACGCGTAATATAGTTCAAATTTTACCCGGTGCAAAGGACGCGAGGAATTTGCTCGATGCCATCGACACAAGTCGAGACGATTCTGGGTTTTCGCGTCGGGGATGAGAGGGATCGAAGAAAATGATCGCACGTGGAAGTGAAAGAAAACTGATGAAATTCATAAATGAACTCGGGGATCTGACAGAAGATGCAACGAACATTTCAAAATCATTTCTTTTCTCTCTTGATCTGACTCTACCAAATTTAGAGCTTGCTTGATAACTTCACTGAATGCTGAATATGATTCGGTGCGTCTGATGACATTAAACATCACACTGCTTTAGCTGAATCAGGAACCACTTTTGACAGACTAAGTGGGTAACTGTACCAAGGCAAGCGACATCGTGATAACTATCGAGGGGAGAGATCTCAAGGCTTTGACAGGAAGAATCTAACTCTTCTACACCGTTCGCATCCCCTTCAATCAAATCATCGGAGCAAATGCCGTCGACTCGCCGAACCCCCGGAAGTCCAAATTGCCGCTGTCGGCCTCCGACGGACCAGAATATAAGCGATGACCGGGTTGGAGGAAAGGCAGACGAAGCGGACAGGGATTGGAGTGAGGATGAGTGTGAGAGCGAGGGCGAGGGGCGAGAGAGGGAGTGGACAAGAGGAAGGAGAAGCGAGGGCGAGAGCGGCAGAGGTGGTCGCCATTGCTCAGCTCAGTTGGTTGCTCGGGCGAGACGGCAGACACACCGGAGTTTACACGCCACACCGCCGTTTTGCAATAACAACATTAATTTTGGGTGGAAATATTCGGCCTGTTGTACGTATCATGTTTCATAATTCGTATGAATAGAGATGAATTTTCTTTTTGTTTGAACTATAGTTAGTTTAGTGAATGACTGAAATTTGCTGGATAATTCTACTGGTGAATTTCGATTTATATAGATAGTGCTGAAGAGTTTGAAATTTTTAGGGTCTATTTGTTCAAAGAAAAATTGTTTTCGGGAAATTGTTTTCTGGCTTTCTGGTGTTTGGATGACAGAAAACTAATCAATTTGCGGAAAACGTTTTCCTGAAAGGAAAAAATTTAGATTTAGGGAAAACGATTTCCCCTTTCTCTCTCCTAAACTACTAAATATATGAAAACTAACAATTTTCTTTAAAAATGATTTTCATAGAAAATATTTTCCTTTATCATGAAGTTTTCGGTGAAACAAACATACCTTTAATCAAAATTACATTAACTATGTGCCGAAACCAAATGAAGCCAAGGTAATAAAGTTTTGGACAGTTTCCTTATATATATATAATATGTGCACACAATAAAATTACCTAAATCATTCAATGATACTTAGCTAGATAGCAATTTATAAAACTGTGGGACATTTATAGGCCTAATATTCTAAAAATCCTCCGACTTTAACTCTTGTCCCAATTTTACCTTTTGTCTCATAAAAAACCTCTAACTTTAGGTCATGTCCCAATTTTACCGTAAACTTTTTTTGTCCCATAAAAAACCTCTAACTTTAGATCCAGTTTCAATTATACGCTAAACTTTTTTGTCTCATAAAAAATCCTTAACTTTAGGTCCAGTATCAATTATACCTAAACCTAAGAAAATCCCAGCTTTAGGTCCAATAATTTTTTCTTGAAAATTTCAAATAAGGGCTTGAAGTGCCCTCATTTTCTTAAATAAGGACTTGAAGTAGACTTTGTGTCAAACAAGGACATGAAGTGCCCCTTATTTTCTCAAATAAGAGTCTAAAGTGGATTTTGTGTCAAATAAGGGTCTGAAGTGCTTATTTCTGTTTCAAATAAGGGCCTAACTTTCTAAATGGTGAGGGCATTTATGTCTTTTTAACTTTTTTGAATTCTTTTCCTTTCTTTTCTTTCCTTTTTTCTTTTTTCTTTTTCTGGTTTCTCTTTGTGCTTCCCCGGTGGTCGGCCGGCAAAGCCTCGGGAGGGCTGGGCGAGGTTGCCCTCTAAAGCCATAGGCGAGGGCCGACCTCGCCTAGGCAACGGGTGGCCGGCGAAGCCTGGGGAGGGTTGGGCGAGGGTGGTCTCGCTAGCAACAAGCGAGGGACGACCTCGCAGACCATGGGCGAGCCAACCCTCGCCAGCTCTGGGCGAGGGCTGGCGAGGGTCGCCTCACCAGCTGCCGGGCGAGGCGACCCTCGCCCTAGGCGAGGCCGTCCTCGAAAGCCACAGGCGAGGGCCGACCTCACCTGAGCGACGGGTGGCCGGCGCGACCCTCACCTTAGGCGAGGCAGGCCCTCGCCCAGGGCAAGGATCGCCTCGCCGAGGCGAGATTGGCCTCGCCCAAATCCGGCGAGGCCATCCCTCGCTGGCCCTTGCCAGATCGGGCGAGGGCGACCCTCGCCCAGCCCTTCCCGGGCTTTGCCGGTCACTGTCAAAACAAAGAGAAGATTAGAAAATGAAAAAAAGAAAAGAAAGGAAAAAAGAAAGAAAAGGAAAAAAAAAAAAGGAAAGGAAAGGAAAAAGAAAAAATTAAAATTATTTTTGGACGAAAATGCCCTTGACCTTAACGGTCACCGGCCGGAATATTTCGCCGTCCGGTGACTAGAGAAGTCAGGCCATTATTTGAAATTCTCATGGCCACTTCAGGCCCTTATTTGAAATTCTCATGGTCACTCAGGTCTTTATTTGAGACTAACATGCCATTTCAGGTCCTTATTTGACACAAAGTCCACTTCATGTCCTTATTTGAGAAAATGATGACACTTCATGCCCTTATTTGGAATTTTCCCTAATTTTTTTGTCTAAAAAAGATCACCAACTTTTATTTGAGTCCAAAATCTGCTCTCCATTAACCTTTCGTCAAAATCTCCTTAGTGATTTTTCGCTGGTCAATCTCTTCTACTTGGGAATGTTATATCTCTTGCGATAGGAGAGCTTGTGCTTGGTACTCTCGAACAGCTCGTGCTTGAGAGTTTTCCATCTCTCAGTTATCAACGAGAAATTTTGGATGGAGGTTTAATGGATATAAATTTGTGACTCAAGTAAAAGTTTGTGGCTTTTTATGAGATTGTAAAAATTTTAAGGTAAAATTGGGACAAGACTTAAAGTTGGGAGTTTTTTGTAGGATAAAAAAAAGTTTAGGATAAAATTGAGACTGGATCGAAAGTTGAGGATTTTTTATAGGACAAAAAAAAGTTTATAGTAGGATTGGGACAAGACCTAAAGTTAGAGGTTTTTTATGAAACAAAAGGTAAAATTTGGACAAAAGCTAAAGTTTGTAGTTTTTTAGGGTATTAGGCCGACATTTATAATACATACGAAACAGTATAAGCAACACCTTTTTCTAACAAACTAATTTAGCTAAATAATATAATATTAAGTTCGTTACATTCTTGCTGAGCTCAGTAACGTAAGCTTGTAACCGAGTGGGTTATCAAATTGATGGAATGTTAAAGCCCTTTAATCCATACTCAAATGACTAATAGGCGAGGTGACCTGCCTCGGGCAACATGGTGTCGGTAATTCAATACACGAAATACTTTCTCCTCTGACGTTCAGCCGATGGCAAACGAGATTCGAGCGGAGGGCGAGGTTCTTGCTTTCATTTTCGTTAGGGTTTCGGCCTTTGAACAACGGTACGCCAATCACTCGTCCTCAAAACGTACTTTACTAATAATCTTCTTAATCAAGATTAGTTAGTGCATAAACCCCCCTGACACTCGATGAGCTCTTACGTGTTTTGTCCATGCATGCATGCATGCAGTTGCAGGAGCACGTAGGTCGCTTCGTCTTCTTTGCACGGCCCTGCATCGAGCCTAGAGAAAACCATCAGGCCAGACGATCATGGAGATCATCAGCCATCATTTCGTCATCGGAAAACACCGAAGAAAAAGGAAAAGAACAGCCATCGCTGGGGCTGCTTCTTCGTCTTCTTCTTCTTTTGGGATCAGTCCTCGCCCTTTCGTCTTCCGCGCATCGAAACACCAAACGCCTCCATCGAAGAAAGTTGATACTTATCAGCAATTCAATGAGTGCATTCCATCCAACCCTGTTCACAGGCATGCGTCGATTCTCTCTATAAATTACACCGCCCCCTCTCTCCTTCCTGCATGTCTTGCTTTCGATTCTCGCATCACTCATCGCCAACACACAGAGAGAGAGAGAGAGAGAGAGAGAGAGAGAGAGAGAGAGAGAGAGAGAGAGAGAGAGAGAGAGAGAGAGAGAATGGTTGGAGCCGGCAAGATCACCGCTTCTAAGCCTAGAATCACTGTCAAACCCGCGGCCAAAGATGGCGAAGACCTCGCTCTCACCGTGTCCGTCGCCCACGCGCAGCCGCTGGCTGCCTCCTACAACGACCGGATCCGCCCGCTGCTCGACGCTGTCGACAGGCTCCGAAACCTGATGGTCATGAAGGAGGGCATCCAGCTCCCCACCATTGTTGTCGTCGGCGACCAGTCCTCCGGCAAGTCGAGCGTCCTCGAGTCCCTCGCGGGCATCAACCTGCCGCGAGGGCAGGGAATTTGCACCCGTGTCCCCCTCATAATGCGACTCCAAGACAATCCTTACGCCGATCGCCCCGAGCTCTACCTTGAGTTCAACGGCAAAGTTGTCCACACTGACGAGGCCCACATCTCGGAAGCTATTAATGCCGCCACCGAGGAGATCGCGGGCCACGGGAAGGGCATATCGAACGCCCCGCTGACGCTGGTCGTCAAGAAAGTGGGCGTCCCGGACTTGACGATGGTCGACTTGCCGGGAATCACAAGAGTGCCCGTGCACGGCCAGCCCGAGAACATCTACGAGCAGATCTCCGAGATGATCATGGAGTACATTAGGCCTGAGGAGAGCATCATCCTCAATGTCTTGTCTGCAACCGTCGACTTCTCCACTTGCGAGTCCATAAGGATGTCTCAAGTAAGTATACCTAGACAAGCTTGGCTCCTGTATCAATTCGAATAATTAAATTAACTCTGGGAATTGAGTCTATACGATAATTCGTCTTTATGTTGCAGATGGTGGACAAGACCGGCAAGAGGACTCTAGCCGTTGTCACAAAGGCTGATAAAGCTCCTGAGGGCTTGCACGAAAAGGTTACGGCCGATGATGTCAATATAGGACTTGGTTACGTTTGTGTGAGGAACCGGATTGGTGACGAGTCCTACGAAGAAGCGAGGCTGGAAGAGGCGAAGCTGTTCGACATGCACCCTCAGCTGTCCATGATTGACAAGTCCATCGTTGGTGTGCCTGTGTTGGCGCAAAAGCTTATGCAGATTCAAGCCACCATTATGGCCAAGTGTTTGCCCGAGATCGTCAGGAAGATCAACGACAAGCTGAATGCAAACGTCGCCGAGCTTAAGAGGATGCCCAAGAATCTGTCCTCGGTCGCAGAGGCCATGACAGCCTTCATGCAGATCATGGGGTTGGCGAAGGAGTCGCTGAGGAAAGTCTTGCTGCGAGGCGAGTTTGATGAGTACCCGGACGAGAAGAACATGCACTGCACGGCCAGGCTGGTGGAGATGCTGAACCACTACTCCGATGAGCTCCAAAACTGCACCGAGAATGACCCGAGGATTAACTTTATGTTGGAGGAAATGGATGTCTTGGAAGAGGCCAAAGGGATCGGGCTCCCTAACTTCCTCCCTCGCACTGCCTTCGTCACTGTCTTGCAGCAGAAGGTGAAGCGGGTATCGAGCAAGCCACTTAGTTTTGTGGTTCGTGTATGGGACTACATCGAGGGCGTTGTGATCAGAGTGTTGATGCGACACTCAGAGAATTATCCTCAGCTTCAGTCTTTGACGAGAAGAGCAGCGTGCAATCTGATTAACAAGATGAAGGAGAAGGCGATGATTAGGATGATGGAAATTGTTGAAATGGAGAAGCTCACTGACTACACTTGCAACCCTGAGTACATGTCGGAGTGGAACAAATTGATGTGCCAGCAGGACATGTTCATGGAGGCGATCAACGATGAGTCGAAGCCTAGCAACATTGTCCTCCAGGGGATCGGGGAAGTTGACGTGGGCAATCTCAGGCATCGAAAGCAGCTTATTCAGCAGGCGTTCGATCTGAAGATGAGGATGATGGCATACTGGAAGATTGTGCTGAGGAGGTTTGTCGACTCGATGGCACTGCATCTGCTGTTCAGCGTGCAGAACTTGGTTAATAAGGAGATGGAGATGGAGATTGTGGGCGAGCTGATCGGGCCCAACGGCAGCGGTGGCATCGAGAGAATGCTGGAGGAAGCGCCAGCGGTGGCAGCGAAGCGCGAGAAGCTGAACAGGAGCATCAAGCTCTTGAGGGAGTCTGCAGAGGTGGTCTCCAAGATAATGGACCGGATCGCCACGGATGGCGACTACAATGATTGATGACAAGTAGTTCCGCTAGTTTGGTAGATCATGATGAATGTCGAATCTGGTGTTGTGACTTTGGCGTAGTGTTTTTCAACGGAATTAGCTCTATTTGTCATTTAACTTGAATTCCATCGTCCTATTTCTTGTTTTACTGGAGGACCTGTTATTTTAGCCTGTTTCTTCACTAAAGCTATGCGCACCAAAATAAACCCAAAACACTCTTGAAAAAACCTCGGACATGCAATGCCACAGCATTACATATGGCACAATTTGGACAACCAAAAATGCTTTGATGCAATCATCTTGTATCTTCATAATTTGCACAAAACTTGCATGGCCCTCGACTAATAACGTATTATGAAAAAGTTAAGGCGGACTATCAATTAATACATGATTTATTCAAGAGAATGAGACACGCAATGCCACAGCCATAACACGGCACACTAAACCACATCCTCTGCTATTAAACACATGCCCAGAGGATTGCTACAAGTACAAATTCCTGATTCTGTTCATAATTAGATGAACTTTTGACAAAAATCATCTTCTATTGTGTCTTCCCTCAGAAATTGACTACAGACAATATGTACACAAATTCCGTCTTCCTCGTCTTATGTCGTGTCTTCCTCCGAGTTTATCGCGATGACGGGATCACATCTCTATATCTTCAAGGTCAGGTAGAGGGAAGCGAAGAATGGCCGCAATCCCAGTCAACTGTGCCAGTTCTGTTCATGAAGTACGTTCATAAGCCGGTTTATTCAAAGTTGAAAAGCTTAATCTGTACCAACCGACATATTATAACATATGCAGAATCCAAAGCTTTATCTCATTTTTCTGTTCATTTAGTGCCAATAATACTTTATCTCAATAAGCTACTGCCCAAGGGCTCCAATTATACTCACAAAACTGAGCACGGATAACATGCATTAAAGCTGGCGCAAAAGAAGGGAAACCAATGATGCTTACGTTCTCCCGACACATGCATGGATGAAAATATATGAGCAGTGCCTCCTGAATCCTTCACTGAGTTGACCAAATTCACATACTTTTGCCTTGTTGCTACATCGGCATTTCTGGAGACACCCCAAGATGTTATCAGGAAAAACTAATCACTGTCACGAAGAATGATTTCATGCATGTAGAATTAGGGTTATAGACCAATACATCGCTTAAAAAAGATGTACGAGTCATTCTGTTAGAGGTTACTGGAAAAGGAATTAAAAAAACAAAATTATAGTTAGAACACAGACGAAATAGAAATGGAGATGATCCTTACCAAAAAAAAAAAATAGAAATGGAGATGAGATTAGGAAGGGAACCGGAGAGTGGGGCCTGTGCATTCTCAAAAAGTTCCAAAAGTTCTTGTTGAATGGTTACTTGATTAAATAGTTGCACTAATAGTGGAGTTTTTGTTGCACAATAGGCAGCTAAAGTAGCTCGGCAATTAATCCATCTTAAAAACAAAATCCCATTCACCCGATATAGGAAGATCAAGAATTGGTGCAAGCAATTTTCATTTCTCTGTGATATATGAAAACAGGCATGGAAAATATTAAAGTAATTGCAAACGATCCATATGAAGGATTTGCAGTGTACATTAATCAGTTTGGATTTATTCAAAAGCTATATAATTTATTATTGCTATCGTTTTAATTATTAGTGTAATATTATAATGACATTTTGAGCGAGTTCTTGAGAAAGGGAACGGTTGTCCGTGTAAGGAGTGAATTGCTACACAATGTCAGTGTGGAAAAGACAACACCACATATTCCAACCGGAGGTTGTACACATGGCAAGCAGCTACAATAGGCATAAAGATCAGGGGCTGACCTGAAGAGATCGTCAGTGATAAGGAGTGTCTGGACAGCCATTCTCTCATGGGCAACCTCCACATGCTTAGGTCCATAGCATGCCCGGGCCGGGTCCTAAAAATATTTATTGTGCAATGGATTATTATGATTACAACAACAGCAACTACAACTGACAACAACAGGATCAACACTAAACTAAGCCTTCTTGCACAAAATCGGGATAAATTTTAAACATCATTTCCAATAATACTCCATCAAAACGAAAGACCCCTGTTTCAGTATCTCCTTATTGGTGATAGAGAATCACTACCACTGCCCATTTTGACATGAATCCAATTCTGGTTTTGATTACGCTGTTCTAACAAGTAAACACTGTTTTATGGTTTTTGCCCAATCAGTCAGCAACTAATTATCTCGCATGCCTGTTTAAACATTTTCCAAATGCTCATCACAAGACATAGGTTAATATAAAGATGAGGAGACAATGTACAATTTAAAAAAAAGATAAAAACTGACATTTGAGAGCATGTCGAAGAAATCCTTGAGAGCTCGGACCTGTATTGAAAGGATACAATGACAAATTGTAATCAAGGCAAAGCCTTCTGTTTCCATGAAGAACTCAATAGAGATATTTTTGAGACAGAAACTGAACGATAAAGAATTTTTTGTTCAGTATTATGTACCTCTTGAGCTGCTTTAGTATCTTTTATCATACTCATGACATTTGGGGCATCCAAAACCTCTCTTAAACTGTGCCTGTAAATTAGCAAAGGGATGATGTAATTAACAAAGCATGCTTATCAGTTACATTTAATTAGTAGTTCGTGAAATGATTGACAATAATGAGACTAGCCCCTGAAGAAATACTCATTTAAGAACTAACCAAAGATGCATATGGCCACTACACAAGACAAGAACATTACAAGCCAACGAAAGAACAGTATCATCATTGCTAAAGTCTGCTTCTTTTGAGTATACGTCTTACTATGCTCATTTATCCCTCTCGACAGAAAGATGTGCGACTGTCTAGTCCTTAGCTTTGGCCGGTAGTTCTCTAGTCCTTTCTGTGCATACGAGATAACCAGTTGGCCATCACTTTTCTCCTCTAAAGAAATTTATTGCATATCCATAATTCAATATCGCCAACTAAGTAATTAAGCCACAATACACTGAAAACGGATAATTATATCGGATCCCTTGAAGATCATTAAATAGCAGAAGAGACCTGCTGTGTCTCATATAAAATGGTATCTCTACAGCATTGGATGTAATTAATATATTTAAATACAACAAAAAATGAAATAGGGTCAAAATAAGACTTGATACATGGGACAAAAGTAGGTATAACATTCAATGTATATCCTTAAGATAGATTGTAAAGCACTGATTTCATACATTTCCCTAATTAGAAGCACTTGACAGCATTTTGGACCTTTTTTTAACTTTTTAGAAATGCAAAAGGACTTTAACTAGTGACACGTTCAAACACAATGACGGAGCTTCTGACACCAAGCTATATAATATTGTCAAGACAATGTCTCATAGGTCAGATGAGACATATTCTTTCCTGGATAAACACCACAAGTGTTCCAATTTTAACATTTCAGGAACTGCACCAGATTACATTCCCAAGATTTGTCCGTTGCTACAGAGTACTGTCTTAACATAGCAGCTTTAGTTATCTAAACTATAAGCAACAAAGATATCGATAATACTTGTATCCTGAGCTTGTATGAACAAGCATTATCCGTGACTTGTTCTCTATAATGGGCCTCAACTGCCTTCTCTCTGCCTCCAATAATAGATGCTTATGAAATTGATCCTGATTCACAAATAAAAAGAAACATATAATTAACTAATCAAGAAATCTTTCATGCATTGTACAGTACTATAATGTAATGGGATAAAACATATATAGAAGGAAGTAGAAATGGAATTTATCGCAGACCTTTGTAAAGCCTGGACTGGCAATAACAGCACAGCGTACTACATTAAAGTCAACATGCTTCAGGAAAGCCTAAGACAAATGAAGAAAGTGGTTAGCTACTTTCCACAAGAATTCACATAAAGACAGCAGTTTTCCATAGTGGCGGTTAAATGATTCCAATGATCGACTAACCTGTAAAACATTCTCGAAGAACTTTTTGAGAGCCTGTGCAAAGGCACACAGTAAGAGACTACAGTTTTGTTATATTTATTGCCATTGACTGCAGGTAAGAAACATACCGACTCATAACCTGCTATAGCAGGTCCATGCTTGCGAGGAATCGATGTTTCTATCCGAGAACGAGTAGTTGTCATGCTGCAAGTGTGGCCAGATTTAGACCATACAAGGGTTATATGGTTGAGAAAGAAATTTACTCGGAAGATAATAAAAGAATGAAAGGAATGCGAGATCCTGGAACCAGTGAAAAATAACATGAGCGGAAACGAGCTATACACGGCATTCTACAATGAATCAAATATATCGTTTAATGTTCACACAAACATTTTTTCCCTAACATGAAGATTACTTGAGGCCTTTGACAAGATCTTTAAGTATTAGACATACAATGACTGTGATTAAGAAGAATCCAGAAAAATAATGCGAAACGTCACCACCCAAACAGAAAACAAACAGAAAGCAAACAGAAACCCAAGATACGGCAACAGCTTTAAAGATTGTAAGCAAGAATGAGACATTGTGGAGGCGTACTATCATGATCTTTAGAAAATACTTGTCTCAGCCAAATGTGTCATATGGACCTGATGCTATGCCAAAACTATATTATGTTCGCATATAACGACAAATAAATACTTTCAAGTTCTTCCATTAGGCAACATTCCAGATTTTAACATGTCCATTTGATGCACATTTAATTTCAATACAGACAACACACCGATGTAGCGCATTCATCAAAAAGTGTTTGCTGCCTAAAGGCCTGGCTATCCACTGCCCTTAGTATCGGAGTTTATCCAGTAGCAGCTGATGCCTTCTAAATACCCACTAGCAGCCAAAATTATCTACAACTACAAGCTTATGGCAGTGCTGGAACTAGAAAATTTTGAAAAGAGGATGAACAGATTCACCCCCTTATATTGTATGAACCACATTTTTTACTCAATAAGGTTTCCATTTTACATCAATACCTTTGAGGTAAAAACATAGCGGGTACCAGGGATAACAAAGTATTCTAACCAAAATCTCTAAAAATGACGTGGTTCACATGCATAATCATACCTTCTACCAACAAGGAAGATATGTGCCAATCCTTCTTGCATCAAAATCACAACAAGATCGGCACTTGCTCCAGGGTCTGCAGATGCATAGATTAGACTATACTGCAAGAGACCAGCCCTCAAACAAGAAAAAAACAAAGA